ATACCATCTGCTTGCTGTCCATGGGCACTTCAGTGACACCTAGAAATACAGTGCTTTTAACTCAGAGTAGGGAAAACCTAGCCTGCTTTGCTTTCTGCTTGATTCTAATTATTCTGGTTCTGTAAAAAACCTGTCCTAGAGCTTAAAAAATTTCAGAAGGTGACATGAACATTTGTTCACAGTCTTCTAGTTTTCTTTCAGGTTTAATATATTTCTTGAAATTCTTTGGCCTTTAAAACTGTTCTCATGTTCCTGAGACTGACGCCTTGATAGGTTCATGGATAGATCATGTAAAAAAAAAGCATTTGTTTATTCATCTCTGCTATCGCTGATGAACTCTATGTGTCATTAAGCCCACTAATGCTCTTCTTAATTAGCTTCTGGAGAGACCCCAAGAAGCACATTAATGTCTGAAATTGCTTTTGATTAAACTGGCCTGGACTTTAAGTTGAGGAGGGGAGCACTGAGGCCCTCTCTGAGAGCCTGCTTATGATTCTTTGCTTAGAAGTAGCCCCTTGACCACATGGATCTGTCAGACTGGCCCTGTAGGAGCCCCTGTGGGACGCCTTTCTCTCCTGTGCATTCTGCACAGAACAGAAACTGCCCTAATTGCAGAGGCAGCTCTTTCCCTCCCTCCTTTCTATTGACAGCTGTTCAATGCTGCTGCCTGAGCTGGCAAGGTTTCTGAGGAATGAAGATATTGCTGCCTAGGTTTAATCCCTTTCTGTCCTCAAAGACTTCAGTAACAGAATTTTTGCCAACACTGATTATAATGTTTCCTCAGTAAAGATTCTTTTTTGCTTAATGCTTTTTTTTCAGTCTGCAGTAGTGGAACATCTATAGTTGGTTCATAGAATTAGGTAGACCTGAGACTTAAAATGACTACAGGTAAACAAAGAGCAGCAGGTGTAAGTGGTCAGAAGAGAAGAAAAAACAACAATATGAACTGAAAAGCTCCAGAAGGAACTTTTGTTAAATTGTAAGAGAAGGAAATTGTTTGTGCTACATATAGCTTTCTTTGCTGCAGGGGTCATATTGTTAAACTGTTCAAGTTTTTAAAAGTGCGTTGTGTGCCATTCTAGGCAATTTCTGTTATTTACTTGTTTTGTCATCTTCAGTCCTGGTAGAAGCAATAAATATTTCATCTCTGAGGCTGTGCTCTGACTCTGAAGGCTGGTTTTGGCCTTAACTCACTGCTGTCTGATGCATCTACTGTCTCAAATGGTGGTGATAAAATTATTCAGTGAATATGGAGAAATGAAAATTTATTCAGATTTAATGAGATAAGAGAAGGTAGGCAATGGAATAAGAAACTGATGGGATAATAACCTCTGTTGTGGATATAGCAGAAAGGAAAAAGGCATAAATAGCAGCTCAGATGTAAATGCACAGCATCATCAGCCAGTCAAAGGGGGTGATTGTCCCACTCTGCTCTGCACTGGGGTGGCCTCACCTTAAGTACTGAGTGCAGTTTGTGGCACCAGAACATAAAAAAGGCATTAAGGCATTAGAGAGTGTCCAAAGGAGGCCAACAAGGATGGTGAAGGGTCTGGAGAGGAAGCTGTGTGGGGAGTGACTGAGGTCACTTGGTCTGTTCAGCCTGGAGGAGACTGAGGGGAGACCTCACTGCAGTTACAACTTCCTTGTGAGGAAAGAGGAGGGGCAGGCACTGATCTCTGCTCTGTGGTGAACAGCTACAGGACCTGAGGGAATGGCCTGAAGTTGGGCTAGGAGCAGTTTAGGTTGGATATCATGAAAAGGTTCTTCCCCAAAGGGTGGTTGGGCACTGGAACAGGCTCCCCAGGGAAGTGGTCACAGCACCAGCCTGACAGAGCTCAAGAAGTGTTTGGACAATGCTCTCAGGAACATGGTGTGATTCTTGGGGTGTCCTGTGCAGGGCCAGGAGTCAGACTTAATGATCCTCATGGATCCCTTCCAACTCGGAATATTCTATGACTCTCTAAAATAACAAATCCGATTGACATAGAGCTGCTAGAATTAATGTCTGCTGTGGAACATTTTTGCTTACACTTTAGGTTTTCTTCAGTAATCAAAACCTGTAAAATTGTGGTATAACAATGTGGAAGTCTTAACAGGAAAACCTCAGGAGTGTCTGGAAGTGGTAAGAAGCTTTGACAGCATGCTAAAATATGGCAAAAAGGCAAGTTAAATGGAATACATTGCTTCACAAAAAATAAACAACAGCTGCAAAAGGAATCACTCTCCTAAATTTAGTGTAGTTTTTCTCAGCATATCAGCAGGAATAAATAACAGAAAGATGTCATTTGTTATTAGGTTTTCCAAAATGCATTTGAAATAATTGAAGAATCTAGGAAACAGAAGATTGGTAAGGCTAATATAAAACAGTAGGAATATGTGAGTCCAGGCTTGTTAGGAGGCTGCCACATTGAATACAGCCTTCATGTATGGTCCTACTTCTCCTTTGTCACCCTTCTTTTAATTCTGACATCTCTTTGAGACTGAGTTTGCAAGCTGATGCCAGATACAACCAAATGCATGTATTTGCATTGCAGTATAAAGAGGGACACTAATTCGATAATTCTGGCAAGAAAGCTTGTGCATCTTAAAGGAAAAGTAGCAGCCAAAGTGATGTTCAGTTTTGAAACTTGATCAATAGGAAACCCAACTTCCAATGCTTTCCTGTTGGAGTTTATTCTGACAGAAAAGATGAACAGCCACACTGAAAACCAGCTGGTGGTTGCCAGCATTCGACAGCCTAATTTAATTTGTCTTGTGCAAACAGAATGTATCATGCCTTATATGGGGTCTTACAGAAGCTTGAATTTTAAGGGGAAAAAGCCAAGCCTGCAGCCATTTGGGCCCTTTAACAGCTCCCACAGTGTGCTGTCCCTCTGTCAGAGCTCCAGGAGTGACAAAAGCTGGTGTGTTCAGTAGCTTCACACACCAAAATCTGCAGGCTGTGTTATAGCTTAGTTTAACTCGGTGACCTCATCTCTGGTCAGCAGCTTTAGTAGCTGCTCTCTGTGCTTGCCTTGGTGATTTGGGCAGAGCCCTGGTATCTCCAGCTCCGTCAAATGACTCAGAGTGCTAATTAGTCACAAAGGAGCTGTGTTCCTGCAGGACTGGCACTGGCTGTGTTTGTTTCCTTCTCTGTAAAGCTAGAATTGCCTTCAGCTGCCCAGCAGTCAGGTCAGTGTAGAGACATCACTAATAGTGTAAGGCATGGGGACAAGGCCAGTTCAGAAGCGCTGAAAATGGACATGAAAGCTACTGTTGGCAAGAAAAATGTAATGAGTAGGTGTATGAGTGGTTGGAAGTTCATGGGAGTGGTCAGCTGTGTACTCCCAAAAATAACTTCTTAAGTTCTGGATTTTTTTTTCTCTGTTCACAAAGTGGAAAAAAAACCCAAAACCAAACCCAACCACCAAACAAAACCGTAAGACCCCTTAAAAACCCAAACCATAAAGACAAAGTCCCACACTATCAAAACAACAGCAATCCAACCCAAACAAAAAGCCCCCCAGACTCTTCAAACGGTAAAATGAAAGTAGCTGTACTAATTTCTTCAGGGGAGAAAGGGTAGAGACGATAGCTGTAAAACACAAAACTTTGATAATGGTGACTGAAGATGTTAGTGGACTGTTCAGAATCAGTAGAATTAAATACTCACATTAGGACACTAAGAAAGCCTTCAGATATTGCAGGAAGGGAAATTCAAACTTGAGCAGTGTATTCAATTCCAAGTTGAGCAGTCAGTAACAATTATGGTACAGAAAGGGTTGCTGTTTTTAATGTAGGAACAGGAGATTCAGGAAGCCTCCTCAGAATGTATGATCTGTTCCCTTTATTTTGCTAGCAGATTTGTTGTTCGGTAATTACTACAAAATCATTAAGTACTGATAAAATTACCTCAGATCTGCCTTTCAAACAATACCCAAATACAGTTACTTCTTTTGTGAGTAGAAATTCTTTAGCAGTCTGAGGTAAGGCAGCAACTGTAAAATACTGTCAGGTGTTCAATGATGTAGTACCAAATGTAACAAAAAGTTATTTTAGCTGTAAAGATAAATTTTTTACTTGGAATGTCTTAAATCACCATCCCATGAGGGATGACATCTCCACCAATTCCACCAACTCCATGAGTTGTGCTTCCTTGAAGGAAGGCAGCACACTCTGTGTCATCACCCCTCATTTGGGAGAAGTGGTACTGAAAGCACTTGGGGGAAGAATCTCACCAAGAGTGGGGCCCAGATGGAGGACTAGGAACCAGTACGGCAGTGTGTCTTGCACAACATGGAGCTGGTGACGTGTTCATTGGGATGTCTTTCCTAATGTCATAGCATTCATTTATCTGATATAATTATAAACTTCTATCTGGGAAAGCAAGCAAAAATAATTGGCAAGTCCTTTGATTTTGATTTTTACTTATTTTTAGGGTGGGAAAATCATCAGCTGTCATTCAATTTTACTTAAATATTATTTGAGGATGCTTGTTTTAACGTAGTAATTTTTAACAATGCTTTTACTGAAGTAAGGCTGGGTTTCCAGAAGATTCAATGTGTGAATAAAGGGATTTAAAACTTTCTATTTCCTTACAATAAACAGCAAAGTCTCGCTGATTTTAAGGTAACCGTATATTTCTATTCCAATTATTTGCCACTCATCACGCCTAGCATTATTTTTTAGAAAAGCCAGACATTCTGAAGCTAACTGGAAGACTTTTTGAAGATGAAATCAAAGTCATTCACACAGTTTTGAAGATGGGAAGCTTGCTTTCTTTTTAACCTGTTGAAAGTTACCGTTTTCTTCCATTTCAGCCTTATGCATTTGTTGTTAGTCTTATAAAATCTCAGAAATGCACTTGAGACTTCAAAATATTGTGGCCTACTTAAATTCAGCTTTTATTTTTGAATGACATGTATATTATATCTGTTTCAGAAAATAGCTTTAAGCATTAGAAAATCTCCATTGAGTGCTTAATCTTTTTTACTTTCTCTTTTTTTCCCCCTCTCCTGTAGTTCTCCTGCCTTTGATAGATCGTATGGGAGATGCCAAAGACCAAGTGCGAGAGCAAGCACAGAATCTTATATTGAAATTGATGTGTGAAGCAGCACCACCCATGGTATGATTGCTTAATGCAGATTCAGATGGAGGCCTCCAGTGAGCTTATGACTTTTGTATGAACTTTGAACACATCACAATATTATGGTGACTGTTAATGGTGTAAATGATAAAGATAATCTTAATGGATTGACAGTGATGTATTATTCAGCTGAACATAAAAATCTTGGCACAGTGTGATTGGGCATATCTTGCACATCACAGCTAAAATCTGAGTAGATGTTTTTATGCCATGTGACAGGGCTTTATTAATTATAGCATGTTTGAAGCATCTTCTTGGTTTGGACAATGGGAATAAATGAGTTTAATTAGCTCCAAATTTATTTAAAATTAGATTTGTACTTGAACATGTAGGACTAGTCCTTCAGTTAAGGTGCACATTTTCTAACTTAGGAGAATCTGGCTTTCTAGCTGTATGACAGCGATACTCTGTGAACCGTGGACAAACTCATTTGAGGATAAAATGCCCTCTGGCTTGTCATTTTTGGTTGTAAGGAGGCTTGCTTAACTCAACCTTCAGTTCTAAGCATTATGTGACTTCTGAGTGCTTAATCTTATATCTCAACTCCAAGTCTAAAAAATGGAGGACTGTTTAACAAGATTATATTCTTGAATAGTGATGTTATTTGGAAGAGCCTGGATGTGAGTAGGAACTTGATGTTTGAGTTTTTAGCTCCTGTGGAAAATCTGTTTCTGAGTTCTAATTCTAGAGGTTAATAGGGAAAAAGATGGGGTTTTGTATGTGCTAATTCCTGGCTTTGTTCATTCATAGATACAAGTTTGAATGTTTGTGTGCAGTGAATAAGACGTTGTGGACTTCATCTGGAATGAGAAAATTATTGTCAGTTGCTTTGTTTACCCGGTAAAACATGTAGCATGCTAGGCTATTATAGAAGGTGTTTATCTCTCTTTGGCTACAGGTCTGATTGGGATTTAGGCATCAGGATTTAGTAATACCATCCACAAAGATGTGCCTTTATCCATTCACAAGCTGCAGAGTCAGTCATATTCATTGACCAAGAGACATGGCAGGGAGATACCTTCATTTGGACAGTTGCTGATAAAGAAATTGTTGGTGGTTGCTTTGTGCTAAGCCCTTGTCAGAAAAGCTGTACATTGTTGGTCCATCTTTGTTTATGCAGAGTTGTTAGGCTGTACACAGAGGTGATGGAAGGAAGTTTCCATCCCCTGTGAAGATAACTCTGTGTCAGAAGGCATACGAGGTTTGTGGAAGGAAGAGCATGTGTGTGTAAGACAAGGTACGGCTCTCCTGGTAATTTCCCCAGGGTGGGAGAAGCCTGGCTTTGGTTGTCTGCTCTCAGGAGAGCTTATGGGTCATTACAACTTTGGATGAAAAGCATCAATGATCTTCACAGCAGGGACCAAAACAGAGAAGCCTTCCCTGTGCCTCCAACACTGAAATACAGAGGTCCCTGCTGCAGAGAAGCATCCCTTTAGAAGAGCTGAATGGAATAATTTTTTGAGGATAAGTCCTGTAAATTTCTTTCTAGTCAACTCATCTTGCCTCTTCTAACATGTTGTTGAATAATATTTAATTTGTCCTGTCGTTAAATCCTTTACTTGTTTTAGATATTTTGGAGTTTTTTGTTTCTTTTATGTGCAGGATCTAGATGTAACTGTTTATGGGCAGGAAGGCAAAAAAATATAAGTGGTATAAGTGTGCAGGAAAGGGAGAAATAGAGCTTGACATCAACTCTTGCTAGGAACTTCTGAGTGTTAAAATTTCTAACCAGCCGTTTGAATTTCTCTGCTTAAAAAAATTCAGTTCTTAAGGGATAATTCAGTGAAAGACTAAATTTCTCTTTGGTCTGCTTTGTTTGCTTCAGTAGTCTACAGTTCCCTTTCTACCTGTATTTTTATACATCTAGCAAGGAGATTTCCTTTTTCCCATGTTTGTCTGTGACAGTGGGTTAATTGGAAGAATGTTTTCTTCTGTAAAATCCTGTTCTTTGTTGTTAAGCTATGCAGTTTTGGCAAACCATATCCTGCTCGTCTAAGGTTTGTTTTCTCTAAATGCAATGAAGTATAAAACAAACAAACAAAAAAGCACAGATGGGACAAAATTATCAAGCAGGGCTCTAATTGGAAAATTTTATGTCTTCTCTGAAGCGTGCTACCTCATTAATAATGAGGATGCATATTCCCTGCTCTTACGCTCTCTGTTTTTGTCGATCAACAGCTGTTTTTGAGGGCTTTATTTTTTATTTTTTTTTCCAGAAAGCCGATTGCAATAATTAGTATGTAATACATTTTAGCAGCTTTGTGTGGCGTCATTATAGGTTGCAGTTGCAGCACTCCGGGGTGCAGTTGGCAGGAGGGAGGTGCCTGGGCTGCGAAGTGTGCAGCTCCTGGCAGTGTGCAGCCGTCCATTGCTAGGCAACGCTGCCCGGATGCTGGCCGGGCTGCAATGGCAGCGCTGCAGCTGGGGTGAGCTGCAGGCTGAGCCCCTGCATCTGCTCCCACGGAGAGCCCCCGAGCTCCCCAGCTCCACGTTTGCGCTTCCAACGCCCTGATACACAGCTAGAGCGCGGCAAGGAGATGGAAAGGTAACGGGATAAAGCCGGGAGGCAGGGAGCCGGGGCAGGCAGAGAAAAACGAGTGCGCAAGGAGGTGAACGAGGGTTTAGCGAGCCAGGGGATCGCACCACAGGAAGCGGCACCAGCACCGAGAGGAGAACCGAAAGCAGAGCAAAAATGGAAGCACAGGAATTAGACCAAGGGGAGAAGAAATAATCAAAAAATGAAGAAACAGATCTAAAGCAAAAGTAAGGGAGAAGTGGGGCAGCAAGGAGTATGGATAAGGACAAGCTAAAATGGATGTGAGGAAATTTTGGCAGGGAAACAGAATATGAAGCAAAAAGAATATAGTAACTTCTGCTTGAGTCAGTAGTTTGTAATGTTAATGTTTGTTTTGTGTGCATTAACTGTAACAATTCTGTACGTTTTAAAAGCTGTTTCTCAAATTTGGAAAGTACTCAACTAGATTGCTGAAGGACGTTTTTAAGGAATTTGTTTTGGCGTAGAATTGATCTGTGTTGTGTTCCATATTGTGCATTTCATAAGTTAATTTTATTACTTTTCCAGTGGACCTGTCGTCTTTTATTTTTTTGCAACTATTATGAATGTAATTATATGGAATAGAATTACATTGTATAGTGCTCCTGGTAATTAAAGACCATTATTTCTGCTTTTATAGTACATTTGGGAACGCCTTGCTGTTGGTTTTAAACACAAGAATTACCGATCCCGAGAAGGAGTGTGTTTGTGTCTTGTTGCTACCTTAAACATGTAAGCTTTTTGTTTCTATGGCGATGTAATGGTTCTATCCTTCTGAATGTCATTTTTCTCTGAAAGTAATTCTTTAGGGAGTCTGGTTCAATTAAATTAATACATGGGAAAAACCAAACAACTTAAGTAGTGGGCTTTCTGAAAGAAAGACTAAAGTTACAGATTTTTTATCTTATTTAAAAGTAGATAAAGGACTAATAAGAGAGAGTCAGAGCTTGATTGATGTCACTTTGTATTCTATAAAATCTAAGCCAAAAGTTCACTTTTGCAAAAAATATTTTCTGTCTTTTTCTTAAAAAAATACACTTCTTGTTTTTTTCTAGTTATGGTGCGCACCCATTAATCCTCAGCAAGTTGGTACCACATCTGTGTATAGCATTTGGTGACTCCAACAGTCAGGTAAGGATTTTACCTTACTTACTGGCCCTTGAACAGCTATACTTTGACAGAGCCGTGAAAGCAAAATAAATATAATCATTTAAAGAAAAGCTGATAAGAGTGCTTGTGTACAGCAGATCATTATTTTCTACCATGAGAAAAAGTAAACCGAACTTCTTCTTAATCAGTCCATCCACTGGAAGATGAAAGTAGAGTTGCAAAGGCAGCAGTATCGTGATATACTGGTCCCTTTAGCTTTGTCTTCAGAAGCTGAAACTAGTAATTACTGAAAGTAGTTGTTTTTTACAGAGCATGTTGAAAGGAAATAAATAAAAAAAGGTTTTGACACAAAAAATCACCTTCAGAAGCAGCCCTTACATGAAACCTGCGATAGCTTGCCAAATTTGCTGAAGATAATAATATGTGCAATTATTTTCCAATTGGAACCCAAATGGCATTTGAGAACATGCAAGGATTGTCATTAAAATCATTAAAGTAAGCAAGAACATCTGCAGTGAAAATTGGGAAGTAGTTCATAATGGTGACATGTGAACTTCAGAAAATCTTCCAGTGGAAATGGTTAAACTATCTTGATTTATTTGAAGTTGTGTTTGAGGGAAAAGACTTTGAATACAGTGAGGGAGAAGGTAACATTGGTAGGAGATGGGCTTATAAACAGTATTGGTCTTTATGCTTAATTTCTGAATGCATTAAAGTTCTTGTCTCCTCTGTGCTGCATAGCACTGCTCTGTTCTACAGAAATTCTGTTGAGAATTTGTCCTGTTTTGCTGATCATTAGTAAAGATGTTGTTCACGTCTTGCTAGAGCAATTGTGTGTTTAGTTTGAACTGCTGCAAAGAACAATACTAAAGTCATTCCAGACATTCTTTATAGAGAGTAATGGTATTTACTAAGATGCATTTTTAGCAGTTTTTATTGTGATTGACCATGGTTTAAAATTTTTAAAGAGGCACTCTGTCTCCTTTCTTTAACTGTTCTTTCCCCTTCCACTGTCCTGCCCTGTTCCCTTTCTTGTGCTGATGTCATGCCACCTGATTCCAGTTGAAATAAGTAAAGAAAATACTGATCGCTTTGGTCCACTCTTGTGGGCAGTCCTAGTCTTCCAAAGGACCTTGCTGTGTGTAGAAACAGATGAAAGCAAGATGAAATGTCAAGACTGAGTGCAGAAGCTAACTTTTGAAAGTATTGCCTGCTGTGAGCAAGTCCTAGATAAAGCATGTTTTTTCCACAAATGCTATTCTTATGTCAGACCCAGAAATTCCCTCTAAAGCTGTTACTTCTAGGATTTTTTACCATCTGGGGATGCTCTAATTTGGAACAAATGCCATCTTGATGTAACAGTTGTATTTCATTTCCTTTTCATCCTCGGTGTTTCAACTGAATTGGCATACAGGGCCATAGAGACTCTAAGATTAGTGGCCTGTCAGCAAATGTTGTTTTGGTTTCTGTAACCCTGAAATTAACAATTTAAACTGTCTTCACAGGTGAGAGATGCTGCCATACTAGCCATTGTAGAGGTTTACAGACATGTGGGAGAGAAAGTACGAATAGATCTTACAAAAAGAGGAATTCCTCCTGGAAGGTGAGCTAGCTGTTCTGGTTTTGTAATTCTGAGCCATTGATGTTCTACTGTTCGTTATCTTAATTTTAAACTCACTAGAAGCTGTTTTAAAATTACTGTAATTTTTATTTTATATGCAAGTTAGCTTTGCCATTCAGTATGATGTTACTAGAGTTCCTGACTGTGTTGTTTGTTGATGAGTTTATCTGAAAGAAAATCAGCCATTGTTTTGTTTCTACTTTTGACTAATTAGGAAAGCTAGACAGAACTTGAACCCCTTATATATTAATATACCACTTTATCATCACCTTCATCTCACTTCATGATTTTGATAAAGCTGAATATGTCTTCTGCTTGGTGTCAGAGAGAATATCAGATGAGTGCCTCATTAAATCCAGGAGCCCTAGTTTTTAATGGTCATTTTTAGGATAGCAAAATACACCTTGTTAATATATCAAAATATGTATTCAGCTCTGGGGACACCAACATGAGGAGGACATTGACCTGTTAGTTGAGGGGGTGCTGGAGCACCTCTGCTTTGACAACAGGCTGATGGTTCAGCCTGGAGAAGAGAAGGCTTTAGGAGCACTTTCCAATACCTAAAGAAGGCATTCAGGAGAGCAGGAGAGGGACTTCATACAAGGATGTGATATGACCAGCAGCAAGGGCTTGAAAATGCAAGAAGTTAGGTTTAGGTTCAATATTAGGAAGCAATTCTTCCTATTACTGTGAGGGGGTGGTAAGATACTGGAGCTGGTTGCCCGGAGAAGCTGTGAATACCCTGTCCCTGGCAGTGATCCAGGTGAGGTTGGATGGGGCTTTGAGTAACCTGGTCTACTGAAAGGTGTCCCAGCCCATAACAGAGGGGTTGGAACTAGATGATCCAAAACCATTCTACAGTTCTGTCAAAGCACCATGGGAGAAGGGTGTTAAATTTATTGTTTCACGTTCCAGGTAAAGCTCAGCCTGTTGAGACACAAGTTTACCCTGCCTATGAGAATGACAAGTTGTACACATTCTCTTAATGATAGTCTTGTTTTTAGACAAGTAATGGATTATATGGTTACCACAGAAGCTTGGGCCATATTATTACTACAATTCAAAAAATTAAGTTTCCTAGCAAGTAAATGGAACATTTCTAAGATCTTCCTTGCATTAAGATAGAGCCTTGGACATCTTTTGGAACAGAGGATAAAAGAGTGCAATAACACAGCTTTTTTGCAATGAATGTTGTGTCTGACTGTAAGTTTTAAGTTCAGTACTCACCATTTACAATTCCATGTGATACAAGCTGAGTACATCTTGGGATCCAAGTAGGATTAAACACCATAGGTACTTTGTATCCTCAGGACAATCAACAGCTTCTAATTTAGTTGCAGTAGGTGCCAAGTTGTTGTTTCTACTGTCTGAATCAGCTGAATACAAAATTCCCCCGGATCTGAAAGCAAGCATAGTTGTATAATTTGCATTTACATAAAGAAGAAGGACTCTACTTGGTGCATGTTAAATGGGTTGTTGCCACTAAATCTCAAACAGCTTTGCACCTGACAGTCAGGACTAGTGTTGAATGGTACATGAGCCGAGTGTCAGTGCTGCGTCTTCTGCAGTAGGTTTCAGGTTGGGATAAAGGGGGGAGTTATGATTTGTTTGAGGTGGCCATGAGACTCTCTGTCCCATCCATCTCTGACAGAAAGCAGAGTTCCTGTAGTCCCTTCTTATTCCTTCACACAACTAAGAAGGTGTTTGACAAAGCTCAGGAAAGACAGATCAGCTTTGTGGTAGCTCAGACTGTTGTTCTTTCAGAGGCAGACCTAATTTAAGGCATTTCTTCCCCCATGCTTGTCAGAGGTTTTCCCTTTGCTTATATGCAGTAAAATTTTCAGGTTAGTTATGCAGGAGCTGTGATATGTGGGAAAAAACCTTTGATGTAGAGTATCATCATTATTTTGAGAGGAATCTGTGTTCGTGTGTGTGTGTCTGGGTAGGTTTTAAGGGTTTTAAGTATTACAGATAATCTGTAGTTCAGACACGACTGCTTTCAGTTGTTGAGTTCAGCCTTAAAGAACTGCATTGCAGCTCCTTTACTGTAAGTCAATGCTTTAAAAATTACATGTAAACATAATTATTAGCAGAAAAATCTATTACTTTAGTGTTTGGTGTACACATGAATCAATAGAATGTAGGCTTGTTTAGTTTGCAAAGCAAATTACACATTACAGAGCTGTGTGTTGCTGCTTGAATGCACTCCATCCTAGAGCACTAAAAATAAGAGCTCCTGTCTGCTGAAGGGAAGGCAGGAAAGTTAATCAAGCATTGTTTTGAGAAATTGTTCAACTTCCTTAAATATGCAAATGGTATATACATGTTGTGTCTGTGTAAAGCCAAATACAGTCAGTAGTTTAATAATAGTAGGCTTAAAAGGTTTTGTAATCTGAACCTGGTAGGGTTTGCCTTTGTGGAAAATAGTGGATTTTCTACAGGGCTTTACTGGACCTGTCAGAATCTAAGTAATGAATAAAATATGGGATCTTACTTAAGTAGTTCAAGTCTACTTATTTGCTATTTATTTTTCTTCAGTGTATTTCTCTTCTTTACTGAGATTAGTTGGTGAGTTTGTTTATAAATAAAATTAGTGAGTTCCTCTATTTGTTATTTTTTAACTTAGAAATCTCAGAATATTATTAGGCTTTTTGCTTGAAGCACGTTCCTTTTCCAGAACAATCAGAATCATGAAGTCAGTGTTTGGAAATTTGGATGTTTTCCCTTTTGTTATAATTGCTGCCAGAGAGTTTGACAGTTTTTGGTGTCAGACCTGAAAGTAGTAGTGTTAATGTATTTGTGAATACTGAAAGTGGATGTTACATTTATTGTTCAGTGAGCCAAAAATACTGAAGAGGTTTTGTTCTCTATGGGCCAAACCGAATGTTTTTCGGTATGGAATCTGTGTGGCTGATCTTCCCTGAATGGAAATAGTATATGTGGCTCTGGATAGCAGTTACTTAGTCTGAGTGTTAAAAGCTTTTGTCTTTGAGGAATTTATCTTACAAATTTCCCCACTGTTGCTTGAGAAACAGAAATGTAAAAAAACAGTCATTTGTTTAGTTCTTATGTCTAGGGCCACAACTTCATTTCCTAAAATGTTGAAGCATATTGAAGTATGCATTTCTGAATACCACATTCTATGTGGTATGCACATTCTTCTTATCTGTCTAGTTCAAGTGGAAGATGAGGTCCATCTGTGTGTCCAGATGTGGACACATGTCTTCAAGATTTGTTTTGTTGGTTTTTTTTCTTGGAAGAGAAAAATACGGAGAAACAACTGCAAAGTTTCATATGGGCTATTTCCTGCTTTAGACTCAGTTTGGACATAAAATCAGACTAGTTACTACCCGTTCTTCTTCTTTATCCTTCTCCCGTTGATAGGGGAGTGGTGCTTTTTTGCCTCTTCACCACAAGGTCCACACTTTTAGGTATACCCCTCTGCTTGTCATACGAACAGTTGAAGTTCATCAAGCATGGTAATGAATAACAGCTTTTCAGTGTGAGGTGGTGTGCACATTCTATGGGAGCATCCATGTTTCCGTGTGTGTGCATGTCAGCTCAAGCTGTGTCCTAGCAAGGTATGTATATATTCCTCTCACTGCCCATCCTCACCACAGTATGGTAATATTTTGATAGAGACCTGTCACCTGCTGGATGAGAGGGTTTGGCATACTGCCAGGAGCCCCCGTTAAAGTGCTATAACTTCATGCATTCATTCATTCACTGACAGCCCATCCAGAAGTACCTGCTGTCTCAAATGTGGTTTTTGTCAATGGGGATTTTCCTGTCTATACGAGAAATTGTGGAAGACCTGTACATGCCTTTTTGGGAAAAGAAGATAGTATTTCTGTCTACCAGCATCATGTGGTGACTTCAGTGATTGGTTATGATTGCCACATCCAGAGTTGGGCTTGCAGATATGAGATGGAGGAGTAATAATGCATCTCTTCTCAAAGAACATTCTTTATTTCCTGTAAAACTGGTCTTCATCCAGCCCTGTAGAATTTCTTGGATTCTTCTTGGCAGGCTCTCTTTTGCCAGGAGCTGAACCTCCTGTAAACATTCTTAAATTGACTGTGGTTGCAATAATTTTAGAGACTCTAGCCCATACTGCCTTGCTGCCTGTGACCGTGTGAAGAATTATGAGAAGAGAAGAATGTAGTAAGAAGAGCAGGGTGGGAGGAGAGGGAGGGAGAAACTTGTTGTGAGAGACTTTGCAAAGTAGTAGTTACAGATCCTGTAAGCTCTTCTAAAGAGAGGGTTGGTTATACAGTAGTGCTTTACCATGTTGACAGCTGTGTTATAATGGACTCTTCTGTTGTTGTTGCAGTTATGACAAATACTATAGTGTGCCTCTGGTCGTAAAGACATGCTTTGAAAGTTGAAGGAGTGGCAGTACTGTGTGTTGTTCTCCAGCCTGCACCACTGACAACATAGCATCCTGTGCTGACAAGCACATTTTTCTTATTGTTTATAGTTAATACTTTATCAAATGTTTTGTCCAGAGTGAGAGGCAACATGTATATTACTATAACATATTTATAAGGAAGCATTTTGCTTTTAGCTTCTGTTTAGAACACTCAGGGAAGCATTTTTGAAAACAAAGTTCAAAAGAGCAGGAAATATTTTTTTGTCTTTTGAAAAAAATCTTATCTAAAAAAAAATCTTATCTAAAATATTTGTGCCAGATGGATAACATCAGCTTTACAGGATATAAAAATTAAAGTGACATTTTAAGGCAAATCTGTTAATCTCTCTAATTGTGTTCAGTTTCTCTTGGGAGGACAGTTTTAGTCTTTCAGATGTAGTGTTAAGTCTTCCTCATTAACTAGGTGAGCTGTTAATGCAGTGTTTGCTATGGAATCCAGCACTGTTGAGGGGAACTCACAATCCATGATAAACACAAACACATTAACTTCTTGTTATGAAAGCAAGATGGCTTAATGCATTATTATACATATTGATTCTCATGTGAACTTCTCACTTCGTACGGTTGAAAGCACATAGCATGTTAATGGGATTTCATGTGTCATTAGTAAATTCTTGTACTCAAATAGCATTTAATTTCAAAAGTTTTACTTTTTCAAGTTGAAGTGCAGAAAACCCCATTTCGCTATATATTCGCCTTTGGTTTGCAAAATTGATCTTTTCATTAAAAGACTTGAGGTTTAATAATAAAACAGTGACATTTGTCAATTGCTGCCATTTCAGACATTTTGTTGTGGCAGCAGTGGTTGGAAATGCAATGGTAGTGCGAAAGAGAGAAAGGATAATAGGTTCCAGAGACAAGCTGGCAAGTATGCTAGGGAGAGATTAGCCAAACTACTACTGAGCTACATGTAGTTTTGAGATAAGTTGAGATGGTAGAGTAACTGCTGGTTTGTGTTAGGGGTTATTGACTTAAATTATTAAGTCAATAATTTAATTATTATTAAATTATTAAGGAGATTTTTGGTTGTGCTGTTTTAGATGCTTGCAGTAGGTTAGGCCTTTTTGTGGAGATCTGTACTTGTTGTGGGCCTACTAAGTCTGGGACAAATTTGCTCTGTAACAGATTGCTTTGAAGTATTTGGAAAGTAAAAATAATGCATCATGGGAGTCCTAAATTGTTGCAGAGGTGGGGGGGAAGGCTCAAATTTTCTATACTGTTGTCTGTCTGCATTTCATTATTTTATCACATTCTTCATTATTCGATAAATGAGGTCCCAGCAAGTGAAAGGGATATGCAAGTCTCAGGGAACACAGACTATGCAATGAAAGTGCACTGCCTCTCTACATGGATCATTGCATAAAAGTGGTGTGTGCATAATGAAATGTTAAAGTGAAATCTTTGTGCATCCTTGACTTTTCTCCTTGTGAGACTTTTCATACCTGGCTGTAATTCTTACCCATTTTTCTGAGTTCGTCACAAAATAGTTTGGATTGTAACTTGCAAAAACAGCCTTTCAGTGCAAATTTTTATGAAATTCTGAGTTGGATGGTATAGTCTCTAGTTCTTCTGATGTAGCTGAACTGTACCTGTTCAGAGACAGGTACAGTTTTGGTCATCTGTAGTTCATAACTTGGTTCATTTAAAATCAGGATTCAGTCCTGATAGAACTGGAGCTAAAAATCCCATGTGCATGTTAAATATTACCATATTCCAAGTAGTCTAAATGCAAAGTCTTTGGAGAAATACAATAAATTGTTCTCAATTGTTTGCAGCTGAACAGTGTATTATGTCAGTACAAATCTATTTTTTATTGCTAATGCAATGGATTGGGTCACATTTCTCTGGGAGATACTTGCACTGCTTTTATTGGGTTTTCAGCAGAAGTGATGAGAAAGGGCTGTTGAAGTGTTTTGCCAACTTTCTTGACTGAACACCATTTTTTGCCTTGAGACTAGGTTGCAAATCTAGGATTGTGGAGTTGTTTGGTTTATTTGGAGTTTTGTTTGTCTGTTTGCTGTTTACATGTAGCAAAGCTTTTGCAGCTTATTCTCTATTGTGACAGTTGAAATCAGTGGTGTGCGGGTTGGACACATTTAAGTGTTTAGTGTATCTTAAGTTTAGGAGAAAGTTTTGTTGTTTGGGGATTATTTTTTGCTGTGAAGTGCTAACTGCCACAGATCTCGTTTCATAACCAAACTGAGGAAATTTTGTGGAACAAAAACCCTTAAGAAAATGAGTAATAGTCTTAGAACAAATTAAATAGCAATTTTTTTTTTCTTCTGAGTGAATAGTCCATAGTTTAAATTGTAACCTGTTGTTCAGTGTGAATAAATACATGTATATACTATATATAACCAATATGTGCTATTACTGAACCTGAACTTTAGAAGGTTATTTTTAATCATGCTAATAACAGTACTCAATTTTTGTTCTTTGCTAAGTTTACTTGGTTTTCTATGCATTTCTGTGAAGATGCTCAGCTAAAGAGGAATCCTTTAGGAATTGTTTCTTCATACACTTAATCCCTTGTCTATTCTGCATTGCTGCTTTATATATGCTAATAAAGTGATTTCTGTTTTTACCAGTAGCTAGTGGGATTTCAGAGACATAAAAATCCTTTGTTGTTTTTGTTCTTTATAGGTTGCAAACAATCTTTGCAAAATTTGATGAAATAAGAAACTCTGACAATATGATTTTAAGTAACGTCAGTGGTAAGTATGAAAGATCATATATTTCTAATCAGCTTTAGATTAATGCAAGATAAATATTTAAATGCTAGCGTTATCAATGTGAGATGGATGTGTGGAAACATGTAAATCTAAGAAAATGAGACACTTGGTGAAACAAGCTTGTACACTTTACTGGAAGTATTTTCTGGATTGTGGTCAGAATACAATTGGAAAAGGTGTTGAAACTGCACAGAAACAAGCTGTGAATATTTAATGAGTTACAGATGTGCTCAGAAGAGGATAGAAGAATGCTAAAAAGTGTTCATGTATGGGAAAAAAAGATCAGATGAACCTTTATCCTTAGTATGTTTCTAAGAGAAAAATGTACTTCAGTGATGGGTGTGTTGGATATCTGTTAAAATGATGCATCATGATTGTAATACATGGAGCTTTAAATTATAGAACTGGGAGACTGCAGCATTCAAAGACAGTTTAATTGTTGAAGTTAAGACTTCATTGAGCTTGAGCTCCTTATTTTAGTGTATTTGAAGAAAAGATAACCTGTTACACATAGTCCTTATTGCTTCCTGCTGCTTTTTTGCTACAGTATTTTTACTATGAAAATTTAATTTAAAACTGTAAATTATGAAAAAAAAAATGTTACATAACAGCAAAACAAAGGAGGTGCTGTGGCAGTGGCTTTAGCATAGTCAGTTTTGGAAGCCTCATTGTCTTCTGCAAGGAATCAATAGATCTTGTTTATTGGGAAGAGTTTTCTCATGCTAATTTGTCTTTCAAAGTAACTATGTTAATTATGGTCTGCTACATCTAAAAAGTTTAACTGTTCAAGAGTAGAAATACCTGATGAATGTATATAATTCCTTAATATATTCAAATATACCTTTTTTGTTTTACATATTTGTCACACTTCTTGTGTGAAAACAGAAGTGACTGCAGGTTCAAAGGAAAGTGTTTTTGTAACCTTTTCTTTGACGTATGAGTTTCTGTGCTGCATTTTGCTTTGAAATAAAACATTGCTATTCTTGAATACTTAAAAATTGATTTGTAAAAATTTGTGTTTTTTAAAAAAAACCCAAAGCATTCTAATCTGGGGAAAAATGTTCTACATAAAAATGTAAATGTTTATGTTCTGTTAGATTGTAAATTTACTCATTATGAAAGGGTAAACCATTAACTTTTGCATTTAACATTAATACACCTGCATAGGTTTCATAGGTTTGAGAGATTCAGAGATGCATTTTATATGTGTATTTTTTCTGTTGGTAGTTCTCAGGAGAGTGGAGAAAGTCACACCAGGGAAAATAGGCATGGAAATAACTTAAATATATGAAAATATATATATATACACCCCACTAGTTAACATATATATACCACTAGTTAGCATAGCACTTTGGTCCTTTTTGTCTCCATTTAAGAGAGTTAGCAAAGTTTATTTTGAAGTGATTTGTATGTCATGTGCGAAACACAAATATTAATGCTGATCTATGACAGTATAAACTATGTATTTTGTCTTGTAGTTGGCAATTTCTGTGCAAAAGATACTGTAGTTCTGTTTTGGTACCATGAATGACAGAATCCCTCTTAATACGTTGGTTTCAGCATTTTTGCCTAAACCTAGTTCATCTGTTGCTTCCATCTAGGCAGTTTTTCAATGTTATTCCATTGTTAGTGTTTTATCTTGGCTTTGTGCTTCATTATTCTCTGAAGGACAATTTGTATTTACTGCTTGCAGGTGTAGATTTAAAGTAACTGTTGAATTCCTATAGCCTTGGTTCCAACTTTTCTTTCAGGAGCTTTATCAAACATCTCTGGATAAAAGCCAAATTTTAGTGGCTAAATACATCTGCTACAGTGCTGAGGATCTTTTTTTTTGTGTGCTTTGGATATTTTGTAGTAGGGTTTGGGATGGTGGGGGGGAAATAGGGTTGTCTTTGCAAAGTGGTGGGGAGGCAGAGGCAGGGTGGAAAGCACAAAAACACTTCAACTGGTTTTAATATAATTAAACTCTGTAGTGGAGTTTTCAAAATCCATAGTTTTCTTAACAACAAAAGGAATGGCTTTTGGCCCTGTGAGTTACTGTCTGAAGTATGGTGACTCTGCTGATGGGGGGGTCCTGTTTGGTGTGTGATGGATCGGGAGGAACTTGTTAATACAACCTTGGAAGATGTCATCTTCTTCATAGTCCCGAGTGACACTGCTGTGGTAGTGAATATTTGGTGTGTTGACCTAGTTTCTGAGAATCCAGAGATGTGACTTAGGATTCTCTCATCAAACAATACTAACGTCAGTTGTTCAGCCTTTTTATCCAGCATGTACTTAGGAAGAAAAAAAGGAATAAAGAGTCAAAGCTTGTAGCTTTAAACAACCTGAGTACAAAAATGTTTTCCATACTATATTGATAGTCAAAATGAATACATATTTTAAAAAAAATATGTTGGTACTGACATGATTTAACACCTGAGAGTTTTAAAAGACATTGTGTTCATATGCTTAGGTGTGAGGGAGAAATACAGGTAGGACAGGAAGATTTGTCCTTCCTGCCACCTTAGCAGACCTGGTAGATTTAATATTTTACACTTCTGAGTGTGCTAGAGGGGATCTAGTGAGAACAGTCCCTTTTTTCTTGTGTTACCTTTTTATTGAATCTGATCTGCGATGGAATGATACAGGAGGAGGAGGAGAACAAGTTACCATTAGGGACTGACAGATCCTCTTGGAGGGTAGATGAGATGGAAAGCACATTCAAACACTTATGGGTGGAATGATTGGGGTAGGATGTAATGAGGAGTATCAAAAGCCAACATATGAGGAGACCCCATGTCCTACAAGGGAACTGGGCAGGAATCTTAGTGCTTTTGCTTGATGAGAGGGGCTTATAGCCTTAAATAATATCCCACTGCTAGCTTGCCTCTCCAGCTGACATTTGATTTTTTTTATTTTTTACTCTCAGACATGTATAGTAAAGTCAGAGATCATTTTTTTAATGTGAATTACGTGAATGACTGAGCTGCTGTGAAAACCTTGGGATTTGTTTACATTCATAGTGATGCATATTAAAAGAATCATATCAGGATGTTTGCCTGTTAAGCAATATCTTATGCGTGCTGCTAGTTTCACCCTTTCACTCCACCAGAACTGTATGTAGCCTTCCAAACTGGAGGAGATTCTTTAAAGCACACCCCCCCCCCATTTTTCAGCAAGTGAATGTTCATTTCTATGGAAACGGAACTGGCAGCCAATCTCAGCACTACAAAAGCACTTGTTTCTGCTCCTGAGATTTGTAAATACTGTTTTCTCTAAGAGAATTCAAGCAGACTCCTGTATCGAATAGTAGTGTCATTATTGAGACAGGGAATTAGAATAAAAGTAGGGAAACTATTAATACTGAGCTCCCTGCTGCACTCAGCAGAATGATTGAGCTGAAGATAAATCGTATATCTCTATTTAACCCATGCACTTTTTCCATTTTAATGTTTAATGGCTCAAAGGACTGGCCTCACAAACACAGAATTTGACAGGTAGGATATGTGTGATGTTAGTATCATGGTGTAAGAGAGCTGTGTTATGGGTGATAAAGATGCAGCTGAAATACACATTCTCCTGGGAAAAAAAATGGGCAAATAAAAATCCATAAGCACTAGTGTGTATCTGTTTTTCCACATTACACTATTGTTTTTTATTTCCCTTTGCTGTTTTCTATTTGGAAATATAGTTACTATGGAGACAGTGACGACATACTCTTAATAGAGCTCACCAGTGCGGCACAACATGAATATATATCATTTGGGAATACTGGTGATAGCTGCCATGATTATTTTATAGAGGTTTTGAGCTGCACGTATTCCTTTGGCTTGCTTAGTGCAAGTGGTCAAAACGTAGCCACATCATTTTCAATTTCGGCTGCTCTTCCCGATGGCTCATCATTTTAAATAGGAAAATTTACTATTTTATTTAGGAAAAACAGGAAATTAAGTGTACTGATCAGTTTAAGCCCATTTGGAAGAAAAGGGCCTCATCAGGCTGATGCTTCCACCGGTTTTAAGGGATTTGACTGAGTTCTTGGATTATTATTACAGGGGACTGTGTCCCGCTCCTTTCAAGTGCGTGGTTCTCATCTTCTGTGCAACAGCATATGCTACAGTCTGCCTGAGTTTTGAATTTTTCTATTGGCAAGACTAAGTAAATTGGTACTACTTACATGTACTTACATGCTACTCTTTTTATCACTGTTGGATTGCAGTCTCTACCCTCAGCATGTCACCTAACACGTAGACTGGGGTACAAACTCTGATCAGGGTCTCGGGCCCTGGGCAGGCTGTCAGTGATGCTCCCCAGCATGTACTGCACGCATGCTTTGGAAGCATTACTCTTTTAAAGTTGCGGAGGGGGTTCCGAAGAAGCCTTCCCAAAACGCTACAGGCAGCAGCTTTCTTCAGCGGAGCCCTTGCCTACTTCCTGTGGCTTTATTGTTTCGGTTTATTTCGTGTTATGTTACGTTTTGGTCCATCTCTGTGCTGTGGCGTGCTCGTCCTTTACCGAGGCGGCCGCTACCCCTCTCGCTGCCTTTTCCGTGCCGGAGGTGGGGGCCCAGCTTGCCCCGGGCTGTGGGAAGTGCCGGGCGGCGGGGGGACCCGGCGGGCCCATG